ATCATACAGTTGTCGTTGCACCACTGCAGGATTCTCTTGACATCGGCTTGTAGATGGCACAAACTGTAAGCAGAGTGCCAAGAAAATAGTTTTGAATCATCGGCAAAACTGTACACTGCATTTACCAACCCATCGGGGATATCGATTACATAAAGTGAGAAAAGTAAGGGCCCTAAGATGGACCCTTGAGGTACACCGTTTAGTACAAGCAGAAGCGAAGAGTAGTGTTTGTCCACTTTAACAAACTGTCTATGGTCAGCAAGATAGCTCTTAATAACCGCTAGGAGTCTTCCAGAAGTTCCCAATTTGCGCAGCTTATTAAGAAGGACAGAGTGACTAATTTTTTCAAAGGCTTAAGCGAAATCTATATATACGGCTTTCACCGTATTCCGGTTGTCTGTCTCGCGATAGATCTCGTCTAGGTAACAGATTAATTGAATAATCGTAGAGTTGTGTTTTAGGAAACCATATTGTGAATTTGGTATAAGTGGTCTAATGAAAGGATACAATTCGTCAAATATACAGCGCTCAAGGATTTTGGATGCAATGTCTAATAATGTGATAGGACGATAATTGTTTGCCATTCGCTTGTCAGCTTGTTTATGCAAGGGCTTGAGTTTCCCAATCTTCCACTGCGAAGGAAAGCAACCTGTTCTCTTAATAGAGCTGCAAATGTGACTAAGAGATGTGCAAAGGGAAGGAGTCTTCTTGAATAAAGCCGGTGGCAAGTTATCGTGACCGCGGGACTTGCTTACGTCTAGCCTGGTGGTTATTGTCATTATTTTATGTTCGGAAACGTCGAAGTCAATAAGAAGTTCAGGACCGCACATATTACGAACCCTCGCAACATCTTTGGAAAAAACAGACTGGAAAAACTGGTTGAATTTATTACAAATACTAGTAGGGTTGTTTGCTTCAATGTTATTCCAGTGTAAAACAGGTGGTAAACAGTTTTTGGTTTTTCTGACGCTCTTAAAGTATTTAAAAAGCTTGGTGGTCGAACGAGATGAAGCCAGTTCCTGTTCATACAAAGATTGATCATTCTTTAAATCGTTGTCCACTGACGACTGCAGCACACAAATGCGACATTGTAATTTGTCGGAGTGGTTTTGGTTGAGACGCTCCTCAAGAGTATTCAAGACTTTCAACTTGTATGAAGTTGCCTGAGATACCCAGGAAGGCAGTGAACTGCGATGTTGAGTTCTTACGGGCACGGACTTGGAAATATGCTCGTGCAACCATTCATACCACTGTATCAGGAGAAAATTTAGATTGGTCAAACAAATTCCTTGAAAAGGTTTGTCAGCAATAAGGGCGGCAAGCAAATCAAAGTCACCGCGACAATAGCTAAACTGCTGTGGCCGCTCATCAACGGCAATGTCCTGACTAGGGGCATACGAGACAGCAAGTTTCACAGCAATGTGGTCAGAGGCAGCTTTCTCGTTAACGGAATATGCGTTGGTAAAGTCAGTTGCAGGCTCAACATTGAGAATGAAATCGCTGTCTACAAGGACGACATCCAGAGTATGCAACGTGGTTGTGGGAAAGTCAACCAGCTGCTGGAAATTGTTCTCAAAGAGAACATTCAAAACCGACTTCTCATAGTTTTCAGTTGAGTCATATGTACTCCAATTAACAGTAACCAGATTTGCATCGCCAAAGATGATAACATTTCTTGAAGGATGATGTCTGATAAATTCCATTAAATACTCCCATTTTGTTATTGACCACCTATAGGCACTTGAAGCTGGTGGGTTGTAGATACAAAAGACAAGAATGTCCTCAACCAAACAACTCACAATGTCATCCTCGCACTCGTACACAAGATTTTCTCCCATGTGATTTAAGCTGTTGTTAACAGTTAAAAGTACGCCTCCATTTTTTGAGTGAGTCGTAGTTTTTCTCTCTTTACGGTACAAGTGAAAATTGCCCAAAGGAGTCGGCAAAGTCTGGAGTCCACCATGTTTCGGTTAAGGCAATGACATAAACGTTAGTAGGGATCAAAGCGCGCACAAGAGCATCACGCCTATCTTTCGCAAGGATACTGCGAACATTGAAACAGCAGTTTTATATCACTCTGAGGCATTTCTAGTCAATCAGTAAGTTGAACTTCGATACTGTCTTGGAACAACTTTAGCGATTTGATTCGTAGACTTTTAGGATCCACGCCGTTGTTTATCAGCTCCCTTCGTTTCAATAATATCTTGCGCTCACATTCCCTTTCGGAAGCACTCAGTGCTTTGGAGATGAAGATTTTATCTTCCAGTTCCTTCAGTTTAGGCGCTCGTGACATAACTAATCATGCATCCCAGACATTTGATAATGTGACCAGCAAGGTCCGAGGTCGATTTCGGTCTTTGTTGAATTTTCCCAAGCGCGTGATATTGCTAATTGTTGCATTAACGCCTACGTGATTAAGGACGCTAGTCTATTTGTCATTTTCATACTCAGTGGTCTCAATCCCACTGCCAGCTTCTTTGATACCATCGATTCTTAGCTGTTTCGGCATCGATTCTTAGCTGTTTCGACATCGTTTTTACCGTTTACCGGTTGGTTATTTGGCGGGGGCGTTGAATTTTCCACTGGCTTGAGCAGATCAATTTTTTCGCAAATGGTACCAAGATTCTCTTTTAGAACTGTTTCCATACTTTGCGCCGAAGGTTGCTGTTGAGTTGACGAACTTTCAGTTAGTTCTTTAAAGGGTTTTATCTCATCTTTCATTTGGTGTATTGAAGATTCAACACGTGAAAATTCCATTAAACCAGCGATCATTTTGTCGTTCCCGCGGAGTTGGCTTATCGCCTCTCTTAGGAGACACAAAAGACCGTACTTCTTTAATGAATGTGTGGCTTTGATAAAAACCCTCTTCATCTACATAGACGAGCTCAGCAGTCGTGGAATAGTAGTCGCGGCTGAAGTGACGACCGTCGGTGTTTGTTTGATCCATACCGTTTGCGTACCAAAACTGCCAGTCTGTAGATCTTCACCTGCGGAAACAACACTCTGACTGTTCTCACAGGGCCGCAAAATGCTGGATATGATAATAAGTCGGAGGACTTCCACATCATAACAGTATCTATTTAATAATTTTATCACAACAATTAGGCTAATTGTTGACCGCTAATTGTTAACTAATCCTTGACCGCAAAGGTTGTGTCATTATGCTGAGCGACATAACAGATGAAGGGTCTGGCTTTCTATGGATATGCGAGGATAAGGACAAGGTACCAATAGTCCAGTTGGAGAAAACAGCGATAGTTCTTAGAAAGGAATCGCTAAAATCGACCGCCGAAGAGATACTGAGATACAACAGTGAAAAATCCACTACAGTGATCTACAAAAATCTGCGCCTCACTGCTGTTTGTCGACAGCTTTAGAACTACAGTCAACAAGTGATGGAGGGTTTCAGTTTGTTCCTAGAATTACAGATACGGAAGACGACTCAAAACCCTGATCATAGGTGGAGTTCTTAATTCCCAGATAAGGAAAATGGACAAGCTGTTCGATAATCCAAGTTATTATTGTCTTCAGCAGGCTGATGAAACAGGAGAGGACCTGTTGTTATGTTGGAATTTCCAACTACTTCCATTCATAAACAGTCTGGCACAGGAAAAGAAACGAGGCACTTGGTTTCATCAGATTAGAAAACAATTGCATGAAACTGACAATTTCTTGATGAAACGCTTTGAAAAAAGCTAGTCAAGAATTTGCACGCTGTTTTTGATTCAAGTTTTTCGGATCATCTACGGAAGCTCTTCAAAATAAAGATCCGGAAAATGCAGCTTAGTGAAGATTAAAAAAAGCAAGAGTATATGCTGGAAGGACCCGTAAATAGCCAAGGAGTTCGACAAAGAGTCAAGTAAAACGTTGGAGGAAAGCAGTTCCGTGGAAAACTGAGAGGACTGCTAGCTTCCTGGCAAAAGGTGACCTAGCAACCTGCGGTGTAACCCCAATCAGTTGGAAAATGAGTGGATATACGGGCACTGGAAGTATAACTCAAGAAACTATATGAAGCCATTTCAGAGAGAAATGAGATGGCTAAGAGAAAGAAAATCTTCACCGGCAAATTCGCGTCTTGCGAATGCAAAAATGAAAGAAGGGTAGCCGTTTGCTGTGCAAGTAGCACAGCATGTTCCGACCATATTCTTAAAAACCAAAAAAATGGCACTAACTTTTTTTTTCATATTAGTGCCATTTTTTCTGCTTTGTGTGATAAAAAGATCTGAGCAAGAAAATAGAACTTAGGCATGTTCGACAGTCATACTAAAATAAGCCAATTTGAAAACAGTTTTTGTAGAAACTGACTAAAAAACGAGAAAAAAAATCTTTGAAAAAATTTTTTTTGCAGAATTTTTTGAACCTCAAAATGGCGCTAAAAACGGACTTTATTTTTTACCTGATTTTCCGTGGATTTTCCTTTTTCAAATGGTAAAATAAAGAACCAGAAGAAACAAAAAACAAAGCTGCGGAGGTGGTAATGAAATTGGTTAGTCGAAGTAGCAGACCAGTTCAAAAACGCGTTTGATAACCAGTGTACAAGATCCTTAAAAAGTTTCGCCTCTGTGATAGAGTTGAGCTTTTTTGCTAAATGGTTTGCATAAGATTTTTCTCTTGTTTATTTTAGTCGAATGGATCTAGGTTGCTTTTCTCAGTTATTCTGAAACACAGCGATACACATGGGTTTTATGCGTTGCAGGATTTGTTGATAAAACGCAGCAATTTAGGGTAATATTGGGAAGGTATTGGTCGCCGTAAATTGTACAAATTGGCGTCCACGCACCTTCTGGAGAGTTTTTTTGTGGTAAATTTTGGTTTGTCTTAAAAAAGAACAAAACGGGAAATCATGACTCGCGGTGGGGAAGGAGGGCACTTGCCATGTTTTATTCTACTTCCGTATACAAAAACATTTCAAACGATTGGAAGTAAATTAAATCATTGGTTAAAGATTGCTAGCCGTTCTGCGATCATTTCTGGATCATTCTTACCGATTGCCTTAGATATGAATGAATGTAGTAGATAGTAACTACAATGCGGACTTTGTTTAAATTTCCGCTGAGCGAAAACGACTTGAAATTCCTGTCGCAATTTCAAAGCAGTTTTTGCATCGTTGGAGTGTTTTCTACTTTCTCCGACGGACGATGTGCAATACCAGGGCTACGGAAAAGGGATTTCATTGGTGGTCTGTTGGGCCAGTATAACGAGACACCAGCTGAATCAGAGAGTCCGGAAGGATGCTGGATTGAACTCATAGGTAAGTTATGGAGGATATTGAAAATGTAACTGACAGGGTCCAAAGACTTTTGAAATCAGGGTTTGTGTCCATCTTGAAGAGAATACAATCGACATAAAGCGTGACGCTATATTGCTAAGCAACTGCTTCACCCGATTCTGTATGCATTTTTCTTGCTGAATTTAAGTAAAGAGAAATAAGGCTTGGGCAGCTGGTGAGAATAATCGATACACATTAAAAGTTGCTCAATATTGCATTTTCCTCTTTGCTCATCAAATCTTATCAGCGGAAGAGTAGAATTTGAAACTGGCATTGATCCGATAATATTTTTAAATCAATAGCGCATCTATACATCAACATGCATGAACCTGTTCAAAATTCATATGCCTGTTCAAATTACGGTTAATGCCATATTAGTGCAACAAATAAACAGCAGCGCTAAAACGTTTTCGCCGTTCACTAAATCATTAATAAATGGAAGCAGTTTAACACACAGATATTTTTCGTTATTATTTCAGGTAAAATTCAATGATCATTCATGCTTGGTTAGTCTCAAATAAATTAATACTAAATTCAGATACAACTACTTTGATAAATTTTAATCATATTACTGAAGCTTCCAGTCCTGCCATTGCTCTAAATAAGGATGATTTTTCTTTCCAAGTTTCGTGTAAATATTTTGGTGTCATAGTTGACGATAAGTTGAATTTCACATGTCAAATTGTCAAAATTAAATCTAAATTAGGAAGACACCGTGGTGCTATTTCCCGGTTCAGATTTTCAGTACAGCGAGTGGTATTGATTTAATAGCAAACGTAAATCCTTCGATACAATATGGTTTGCTTGTTTACGGCTGCTTTTTCACAAATATAAATTCTATTTTTTGCAAAAGAAGCTGATCCAAATGATCTATTTCAAATGTACGTCTTACAGTATATCAGATGAATTTAATAATAAGGTATTGTCAGTCCATGAACTGTTAGCCTATGATCTACTCAATTTTTTTCGAAGATCAATCAATAAATTTCATTCCAATAATTTTTTCAATTAGATTTCAACCGAAATTAAATTTTCTTATAATTATCGAAGATCTTCATAGCCAGCTTTCAAAAAAACCAACGTGCTATGAAAAAATTAAATCTCCATTGCTGCAGAATCGTGGATCAAAGCTTTTTAATCTGTTATGCGAGAATTGTTTATTGCCTGAGAAAGAAAATGAGCAGTCTTCAATTTTTCGTTTGTGCACAAATTAAAAAATAAATTCATTTTTGGAAATACCGAACTTCGTCGCTTTATATTTGATAATTAATTTTTATTTATGCTAACCCTGTTTAATTAACCCTTATTTGGTTGTCGGCGGGAAGCCTAATTAGGGCTGCGAATCTATGCTGAAAGGTCGACTGCTAGCTTCTTCTGGTTTTCGAGAAATTGTTGTTTTTTGCAATTTTTCAGAAAAAGTTAGATGCAAAATTAATTATCAAAAATTTTTTTGTCTTATCCGTTTTCATGTGTACTTATTGGAATGAAAGTGACTTGTTTTTGGGATGCTATCTGTCTCTAAGTTTAGTTTAAGACTGATTTTTGTTCCTTTTTTCGTAAAAAAGGAATATATAATATAATTCTACATCAATTTTCATGTTCATATATTTCTTTTAACCAGTAAAATTCTTGAAGTTAAGATAAATTTAAAGGGTAGACCTTAAGTGGGCATTTTCAAGTGCCTTTCGTCTATGCTCTCCAATTTTTTTACCGCGTAGTTTGTCTACAAGTTTGCTGATTACTATATACGAAGAAATATATTCCTTCTTTTTTTCCCCGTAATGAACTTCATTCGCGACAAATGTATCAAATTTATGGTCGATGTTATTTTTTGATATTTTTTCTCAAACAAACAAGTTTTTCGAGTAGTTAGTTTTTTTTTGACAGGCTATGACTTAAAAATCTGCGCCAAAAAGTCTGATTTGCCGGCAATAATGATTGTGGTCGAAGTTTTCCAGAAGTTCCTAAAAACTTTTTTGGTCTTTTTTTTCAAAATTTTTCCTGCGGCTCCGACGTTTTGCTGGAAATAAGATCTCTATACTCTGTTTTTTTTTAAATTTTGCCTGCAGGGCCAAAATTGTGCTGAAAATAAGCTCTCTATTCTCTATAAGGCTCAAAAAGTCAATTTGGTCGACCTACAAATTAGGTCGACAAAATTTTCGATTTTTTTAAAACTCCGCCCTCTCGAATATTCTAGATCTGCGTCTGCTGAGAAGTTTTTTTAAACTGAATAAGAGTAGATGAATCTAGATCAAAAGCTTATACAGGTGGTTATGATTTTGCTCGTTTTTTTCAGTGAGTCGTAAAATTTGTTCAGACTCAACCTCTCACTTCAGGGGTTCGAACCCCTGCCGACCCAAAAGGTCCCCCTCTGTTTTGTTTTGAGATATCCATTTTTGGCTGGCTGACATTGAAATTTTCAGGGTGGATGCATGCCGGAAAAAAAACGATTTTTTTGTCCGAAATTTACCAATAATTTTTTAGGCGAAATTTTATCAAGAGCTGATCTGGAATCACATTATTCTGATAGTCTCCAATTTCAAGAGGGAAACCAGATGCGTAATTGCATGCTAGGTTTTTTGCTTCTATCTTAGCATTGCAAGATGAGTTTCTGGAGTTGGTTTTTAAGCGTTTTTCTTGGTAACTGGGGATACTCTTCACGATTATATAGAAGCTGCTTGAAAGTCTGACCAATTTTTGTATATCGTCCAGCAGGGCACTTATTGAATCTAGATGCTCGCATATAATTTTTAGTACATTGTGTTCTTTACTTGAATGCGGCGCAAGCTTAAGGCGTTTCGTTTTTTGAACTTAGATCAGATCCTGTCGAATTTCATTAATTGCGAAGTTAAAAATTAACTACTTTAAACTGATATTGCTTCCTACTTTTGTCTTTAAATAAAAAGAACCCGGTTCTTGCTGAATTTGAAAGCGAGTTGAGAACTTTTCAGGGCAGTAATTCAGATTGGAATTGATGCTGATTTCATCCGTACAAACGTATAAAGAACCACAGCGCTAGCTTTTATGTTGCGCTCATTTGGAAAATAGTTTTCATTTGTGATGTGGAGTTAAATTAGCTTGCTTTTTATTTTTAGTCTGCAGTTGCGTTTGTTTAAACTCTTTATAAAATGCAGTTTTTAATCCTCAGGGAAATGAATCAACAAACGAGCAGTTGAGCTCTTCACGGGGAACCCCTTTATGCCCCTGGTTAAGATCTAGATACAATTTTTTGGTTAATTTTTGAACTTGTAATTTTGCCTCAAGCAACGAGCCCGAGAAATTTAATTAGACCCTGTTAGGCCAGAGGTATATTTGGTTCTGATCAGTGCTCAGCATTTCATTATGACATTATTTAATTATGATTTTCGAAAGCTAAAAGAAAACAAGGATAGCCGGTTGCTGTACAAGTAGCACAGAATGTTCCGACCACCTATCTATCTATTATTACCCTTGCGATAAGCAAGGGTATTGCAATCGGGTGTTAGATTTTTTCCATTAAATAATTTTGTTCACAGAACTCATTTATCTTCTGATTTCTTGAAAATTCAAATAAAACTGCTATAATTTAAGTAGTAATTAGATAAAACCCGTTTCAGGTTGTAAATATTTTCGTGATTTTCGTCCTAGTTTCTGTCGGTTCATTTTTCCAATTTTTTAAACGCCATTTATTTATCTGATAGGGTTTTATCGGCTTATCTTCTAGAGCATGTGCTTTGTTCCAATGTAAACAGTTTTTTTTTACTACAACTGAAAGTTCAGTAATTTGTAACTTTACCAATTCTGATTTTGGGTTATTTTTTTTCATTTTCGTTTCTTTTGTAAATATTTGAACAGTTTCAATTCATGTTGTATCGGCTCAGTCAGCTCATCTTGCAAAATGTCGAGGGTTAATGTTTTCGCATGCGATTAAGTATTTTTAGATTGGATGGGTCGTAAAAATTATTAAAACTTTTTGAAATTTTTTATGGCAAGTTTTGTTTTCGGCTTAAACGAAATGCGACCCAAAATTTGTTGCCGCTCTGTAATTGATTGTCAATTCTTTTTAAGGCTGTTTATAAGTTTCTGTATAAACAAACATGAAATTTTTTAGCTGAATCTTTTTTTCCTTTTCAATTAATTGTTTTTTCAGAACCTTTTTCCAGTTATGTTTTTAACTTCATTTTCCAGATATTTTTTTTGTATGTCAAGTGTTGCGAAGCTCCTTTTCGCATTTGTGTATATTTAATTGGGGGCTTCACTATCTTGCTTGTTGAAGCTTCTTCAACGTATCCTTTTTGCATGTTTAACGAAAGAGTTTTTGCACGTTTAATCTATATCGTATATTGCAATGCTTCAATTTTTTTTGATTTTCCATCTCGAATTCAGTTTATTTCGCAAAGTTTGAACAAATCAAAAGTGGGATACTGTCAGGGTTTTCCAATTTGGCCTTCAATTGTGAATACCCAAATCTGGTTTATGAGACTAGATTTTACATTTCAAAAATTTTCTCAAAACTGTACAGGGGTTGCATACAACTTTTCTCAGGGGTTGCATACATTGCCTTAAAATATGACTGCTCAAATTCTCCTTTTTCCAAGGTATGAAGATTTTTTTTTTCAAAAATGTTCAAAGAACTTAGATATAAAAAAATTGACTAAAATTGAAAATCCTAGCTCTATATTGAGAGAGGCTGTCAGGATACCTCTAGGGGTAGCAAATCTTGCCTCCAAATATGACGTTTCAAATTGTTCAATATTACGAGAGATGACATTTTAATGTTTTTTTTTCAAAAGTTTTTAAGAGCTCAGATACTAAAACATGACAAAAGTCAATTCTCAACCCTGTGGTTCGTTGCTGTCAGAGTACTCTCAGGGTTTGCAAATCTTGCCTCAAAACATTTGTACTCAAGTTTTTATAGTTTCCGAGATATCATGTTTTTAAAAAAAATTCAAAGAATTTAGATATTATTACATGACAAAAGTTGTAATTCTCAACACTTGGGACCTGTCAGGGTAATCGAAGGGTTTGCAAATTTGCCTCAAATTTGAGTGCTCAATTCTTTCCAGTTTCCGAGATAAGACGTATTTTGTAAATTTTTCAGAAATGACCAAATAATTTTTATATAGAATACTTGACTTAAGTTGAAATTCTGAGGGTCGGTTACGGGTTTTCTCAGGCGTTGCAAATCTTGCCTCCAAATATGACTGCTCAAATCCTTCTAGTTTCAGAGATATGATGTTTTTTGTGTCTATTTCAAAAATTTTCAAGAAAAATTAGGTTCATCTATAGAAGTTGCTAGTCATGCTTCCGATCTTGATTTCTCAAATGCTTTCACTTTCGAGACATGTTTTTTTTTTCAAAGAATTTAGATATAAACGTTTTCAATGAATAGATATAAAAATTTTCAAAAATTGAATGTTTCCTTACTATATTAGGCGCTGTCAGGATATTTAGGGGATTTTCAAATCTGGACTCCAAATATGAATGCTCAAATTTTTATAGCTTCCGAGATATGACGTTTTTCAAGTATTTCAAGTTTTTCAAAAAAATTTGATATAGAAAAACTGAAATAATATATTGGGGTGCTGTCAAGGTTCACTCAGGTTTATATCTGGACTCCAAATACGCTGCTCAACCCCTTTTAATTTCCTAGATTTGACATTTTAATGATTTTTCGGAAATTTCGAAAAAGGGTTGACGTTAAATTTCATAAAACAATATATATATTTTTTCAACATTTGAAGATGAGTTTAGTGATTTTGCAAAAGATATAAGTTAGTTTTTTTAAATATGGGTGCAGTTGTATGCTCTCCCCCAGTTTAGGGTTGTTTTCGACTTAAAATTACGAAGATTTGAAAGCCAGTACTCACGTAGTTTTGACCATTTTAGTTTGAAGAGAACCTTCCGGTTGAAAATGAATTAACGTTTTGACATATACAGCGTTGTTGGATGCCCCCGTATTATGTTTTCGTTGCATTCATTTCGTTTTTTTTTTCATATATTTATTATATAAACAATATTCGTGTTCCTTAATCTTCGCGTTCCTTAATGTTTGAAGCACCTGAGGTGCGTTACAGGCTAGCATTCAAAGAGAACTACTAAAAAAATGTATTTTTTTTTTCAAATTAGTTTAGTTTTTGTGCGTTTTCATGAGAGAACTGTAAGAAAGTGTTGAATCTTAGTTAGTTAGACATAATGGCAACAGTTTTGTTTAAAAAAAAACGAAAACTTTTTTTTTAATTTTAAAAAAATCGATTTTTTTGCAGAAAAAATTCACGTTTTTTGAGTAACTGCTTTTGAAAGAAAAGCTTAATCAAGCTACCAAAACTATTTTTTTTGTAGTTAAACGAGATTTTCATTACCTAAATTTCAAAACTTTCAGTACAACTTCGAGAACTTTAGACTAAACTTTTGAACCGGTTTTTTAAGACTGGGACAAATTTTTAACCTCTGAAGTCTTCTAATCACGACTGAAAGGTCTTTCATATGATTTATCGCTGGTCCCATTCTGATCATTTTATTTGAGTGGGAAAAAAAGAAAAAACACCCGAATTGTCGATGGTCGGAACAACGATATGATTCAGTAAGGAATCGCTACCGAAAAGCCCTGCCCTTGTATTGGGTAACTGCTTTGAATTGGATTAGACTGAAATGTCTCAATTTTAAATTGATTGAAAGGTCGCAAACTAATTTCGTCTGAAATTTCTACGTGTTCAGAAATTGAATTTTTATCTTAAAGAAATGTGTTTTATTTGATCATTATGATGCGTAGAAGAAGCTCAAAAATGATGCCTAACTATTCCTGGAAAAAATGAAAAAGATTTTTTTTCGAATACTTCAGGAAGTAAGGGAAGAAACTATGGCGTGCGGAGTTTTTTCTTCCCGTTTTTGGCTACCCCAATTTTGTAAATGTGGTATTATATTAAAGCCCTATAGTCCTAAATGGGAATCCGAATAAGTTTTCTCAGAGAAGAAACGGGTTTGCTATTGAAACGGGTTCTTTTTTCTGACTAGATAACTGACACGCGAATTTACGAATTACACCCGATATACTCTTTTTAATTCTGCTGCAAAGCTGACATTGTTTAAGCGTTTATTACCCCTTATTCTAGCGTTTTTGTTTAATTCAATTGTCTTTCTGGAAAAAATTAACTGCTACTCAGGAAAAGAAACTATTTGCCTAAATTTTTACGATTTTGTAAAAATTTTTCTTGCAAATCAGTGCTGTCGGAACATTCTGTGGTACTTGCACATCAACCGGCCATAATTGTTGCTTTTAGTCAATGAACAAAGTGGAATTGTGGTGCTGGATGTTAAAACTCCGCTGGAATTCAACCTTGCCACTGACTCACTCACGAAGATACTTCAAAACTCAAAGGTAGTTTAATTCACAGATAGACATTTATAGTTAGTTTCATCATTTTCGGCTTGAAGTCTAAGCTATTTATTGGTCAAAATATATATACTGCCTCTTAAATAATCAAATCGAAAAATTTGAGGGGTAAGTTAGCTGGAACCAAAAAAAACAGTGAGATCAAGTGCCTCGTTTAGTGCCGAATAGTTAGTTAATCGTCTTTGTTTTGTGAAATTTGAGACTTTTTAGGTCACATTTGTACTCCCTTTTTCGAACCAGTCAACATCACCTCGCCGAAAAGCAACAAAATTTGGTTGTTTGCAGGTTATTTGGACAAAATATAATGAGACTCAGTTGATAATTTGCAGGTGGCCCGGCTCGACGGCCGGAGCGAGATTTAATTTGTGGCTTGTTTTTCGTTGAGTCTACATTTTGAGCATGTCGACCCTGGTGAAGCGAATTTCGAGGGGTGAGATCTTCTGGCCGGGATGGACGTTGTAGAGGATGATGAGGAGGGCGATTGCGACCAGAATGAGAAGGATCCAGCAGATGACGATCACTTCTGTTTGGTCCTTGTCGTTGTCCAGCTCACTGCCCCAGTTCTGCAGTTGGGGCAGCAGGAATCCATTGGGGAAGTTTCTGACTCGGGTCCGGTTTTGTTGAGAGGCCAGACCAAGTCCCATAATGTTTAATTTCAATTTATAGATACAAATAAATTGTCTGGTTTTAATAATAACTAGTGTGCGTAGTTTAATAACAAACAAACTGTAACTATTTTTATTTCGATTTGGTTGGTTTGGTGGAATTGAATTACTGCGTTTTTCAAATAACTGTTTTTTTTATTTTGTGCTTTAGAGTTATGTGTCTATAGATAATAAAAGGTCCTCAGTGAGAAGGATTTTCCACCGTGGTTCGTTTACTGTGTAAGGGGGAATATTATCGCCGTTAACAAAAAAGAAATTTCACTGATAAGTATTTGGCAAACGCATCGCTGTAAAGTAAGGAACAGAAAAAGTGAGGGAGATTGTGCTGTGTGTTATTTTTGCATCCGCTCAAAAATAGTCAGGATGTGGAATTCTGAATGAATTCGTCTATAGGAGAAAAAATGGACTGTTTTGTGAAAAAAGGGGGAAAAAGGCAGTGGCATTAGAGTAAGAATTTCGTTTTGTGCGAGGGAGGAAAATAATGCTGCAGTAGTTTTTTTCGTTCTGTTCTGTACATTTTATCCGTATATACGTTCACAAATGGGGAAAATCTCTATTTCTAATTTATCCGCTTTCTAAGTTTTATTTCTTTTCTGCCTTCTTTTTTTTTTGGTAAACTGAGCATAGCACGCAGGTAAGGTTGGCGAGATGGTCTGCTTACAAAAATTGCATAATAGGCAGGATGCTAGATTGTAAAATCCTATTTCGGGTTGGTATAAGCTGACAAGGGTGAAAGTTGTGGGAAGGAGGAGGGCTGTTGAGAATAGCCTTTCTTAGCAATTGTGGGCACATTTCGACCGCCCGACATACTATTACCCCTTTGCTCTTTCAAATTCAACAACCGACCCTATCAGTCAAAGCAGCAAAATGTGAAGAGCGTGACGCCAAATTGACACTCAGCTGAAAAGGTGAACGGGTTGAATAATTAATTGCGATGAAAATAAGTAAGGTCACCATAGTTTGCTGAGACTCAATTATCATTTGTGATTTAAAAAAAGTACCAGCACAAGAGTTCGCGGTGACATAAATACTATTTTTAATGAACGAAGTGATTTATCACTAGGGTAGTGTGGTTTTTCTCTTTTTCAGGAAAAAATCTGAAAAATTTCCCGCTCAAATTTCAGCTTGATTTTTTAAAAAAAGTTTAATCACCATTGCGATAAGCAAGTTTGTTGCAATCGGGTACTAGACTTTTTGTTAAATAATTTTGTTCGCAAGATGACTGAAAGTGGTGATAATTTCTCGCCATCTGTTTTTTCATCAGCTAACAGACAAATTTTGAGCATGTCTGCATTTAAAACGCCTGTCATATTCGAAATTTGTTTCAATGTTGGTTGTAAATTCACCAGCTCCGATTTCAGTATATCCGTTTTTCCAATTTTATTCGGCTTAAAAGGTTTGGGCTGATAATATATCGGCTTAGCGGCCTCTTTTGGAGTTGTTTGAGCGGAAAAATGTTTTTATCTAAATGGTTTGAGGGGGACTTATATATTTTTTATTTTAAAAAAACGGCGCAACATGTTTCTGATCAAGAATTGTCGGCTTTGTTACCGCTTTGTAAGTTGTGTTTAAATACTTCTCGGTATATTTTTGAAAGCAGTTTTTTATAAGGCAAAATCAAAACTTCGATTTTTTTCGAAAGTTTTTTTTTCGCATAATTTTTTTCTACGGCTTTCATCTCGGCTTTCTGTCGGTTAGTTTGTTATTATGTTTTTCAAATTGCGTCGTCTTTTCTGTTTGGTGTGATGAAAGAATCTAAATGAAAGCATAACAATTTGATAGTAAAAACTTGGGACATTTGACAACACATTCATAAACATAAACATTTGAAAAATCAAAAAAAAATTGCAGAATTTTTTTGATTGGTTCATTTACACTTTATTCGGAAGAAAGCGCTCAAGCAATTCTTTGTAGCTAATTGTTAATAAGTATAAGTGTTAATAAGTTAAAAATTAAGAAATTGTTAGTTTTCATAAGCCTGCTCGCTCGCTTAATTCGCTTGAAATTAGACAAAAAGTCAAAGCATTCAAACTAGTATTTTTTCGACACTGGAAAAGTTTGTTGGAGATTCGAAGCACGACTGTTCGAATCACGACTGAAAGCTGTTTGAATCACTTAATGTGATGTATTAATGTGACTTAATGTGATATATCACTCGAACTATTCCGATGATTATTTGTGGTACCTGATTTTGCATGGAAAAAAGTTAAACTCACCCGAATACAAAGTTCCTCCCCGCTTTCAGTGGTTGGAGCAAAAATGTCAAGGCTGTAAAAACGTGCTTGAGATTCAGTTGCGAAAGTGGATTTTAATTTTAAGAGTTCCCAGTTTAATAAAATTGCTGATTGTCCCGGGTTTTGTTTGGATTAGTTTTAGCGAAAAAGTAGTCAATGATAAATGTTTCTGGAAATGCAAAGAGCTTGAACTTGATGTCACTTTCTCCGAAAATTGAAAAAAGTTGGATCAATTGAGCAATCTTTGCAGAGAAGTAGCTCAATGAGTACTGGAGGCATTTTATAATCATTTGAAAACGGTTTCAACTGCTTGAACTTATGCTGTAGATCCTCTAAAGCTGGACCAAAACTGGACATAATAAAACCAAGATTTTAGTGAATTTCGTTTCGGAGTGAAAAAAATTCTACGAATAACCGGCTATATACTGCCTTAATGAAGAAAAGCATCTATATATGTAGATGATTCATGTGTTCAATAGCATGTCGAGGGTAAGAGGGTGACTGCCAATCCCCCTCCCCTACCTCATTCAATTTTCGTCTTCTTTCGAATTCGTCTGCTTGAAAATCTTATGTTCAACTTGATAGATTCTTCGCTGTTTCAGTTTGAGCTTACGCTAGGCGGAGACTGTAAAAATAATCGATACTACTAAACTGGTTGAATTAAATTGGAATTATCCCATTCAGTGAATAAAACAAATTGATGTGAGTTTCAAGAACTCGCTTCTTGTTGGTTTAGTCAGCCATTGAAACTGAATCAGATCTAACTCATCTTTTTCTCATTAAATTGAATTTTGTTTGGTAGGGAAACTAATAAAAATTTATTTGAAATAGTAAAACAATCGGATATATTAAAATTTTTTGAACTTTGAATTAATTTCGGTACGCTGAAATCAAAAACATTTAAACAAATTGCATGCACAAGATTACTTCAAAAATGAGTAAAAAAGCAAATTTATTTGTCCTTGCCCTGAAAAACCTTAGTATAGATGTTTGCATTAATTGTCACGACTTTTTGTACAGGACATCAAAAAACCATTCCATTAGGAGACAGAATTAGAAATTTTTGCAGAAAGAGGAGAAAACATAGAAATTGAAAGCACGTTTTCAGGATAAGAATGTAGGGGAGTCAATGCCATATTTTTCAGAAACTTGTATATGGTTAAATTTTTGAAGTAAATTGTTAAGAGAAAATTTTTTTGAAGCTTATAAGACCTATTTGAGCAAATTTGATTCAAACTCTACTGATAAATCCCGTAGCCTTGCATTTCCCGTAGTCTTATCATTCGCGCTTTTGAAAGGTTCCAAGGTTTTCGCCAATCATTTTACCTGCTTTCTGAAGGCATTTGCACGTTGTGATGTATAATGTCTCCAGGTCTTGTGAGATTTTATTAGCCGAGTTTTCAAATCTTAAAAGAAAACGTGACGGAAATGTATCAGATTTCAAATACAAGCAATTGTCAATACCTTATTACATTAGCGCAATTTAGTGAGCGTTAGTGTAATAGTGCGGATGTTCTTTTCTAACCTAAGTCGCAAGTATTGGTGCCCTTTTTGGGTCAACTTAACGGCTTTTTGATAGCATGTGCTTTCAAATTTGAATAATAATAAGTTTACACATTTGATGCATTTTGAATTCATCAAATGAACCAAAAAATGCTATTTGTTTCAAACTACAGAACGATCATAACAACTCGATTGCAGAAATTTTGTATTTCAATATATCTCGCAATTTTTAAAATGTATATTTTTATACATAATGTGCCTTTATACTTTCCAATTGCGTGCAAAGTTAGTGTGGATGCATTCAGTTGGTTATATTCCAAATTATTACTTGTACAATTGTGTCTATTTCTAATTGGTGACATTTTTGCTGCAGCTTTTTATTAGCATATGTAGCTGCTTTATTTGTGAATAGCCATTGCCGATTGTTAAGCGTTCGTGGCCGAGTGGGCAGGGCGCGAGACTGCTAATCTTGATGTCGCAGGTTCGAATCCAATACGTAGCAAAGTTTCACTAATATAAGGCTTATTTCTGTTTTTTTATTTTGCTTTATAGAGATGCTTTTTAGTCGTTCTCGCAAGTGTTTGCGAAGCGCAGCGGGTTAACTCCTAACACTTACCAGGCCTTTGTGTTCAGCCATTACTTTTACTCTTTTTCAACCAAGTTTGATATCTGTTCATTTTGATCAATGAAGATCTGATCAAGGTTGTTTTTTGTTTGATTGATTTTATTTTAATATAAACTGATCTTTCAATAAAAAAGCTCAGATGCGTAAGATTGCTGCCAAAGTATATAAATAATTTTGATGGGGCTTTTCAAATCACTTATGGCGTTTAAAAGCCCTACTTGGACTTGTTCATTGGTAACTGCTGCATGGATTCAGTTAGGTGTCTTCTGACTCTTAAGCCCCCATTCAATGATATTGAAGTTTCTTGGCTCTAGGGCAGAAGAACCAGTTAGTTGCAGCAAAAACCGTTAAATGAACAAGATCAAGTTTGTGCCATGAAACCGGTTAGAGGTAGAGGTGCCTACGGCTAGCGAGTTTTCGAGTTTCATCATTTAAGTTGTTTTATACATTGTAGTTCCGTTTTTTTATATACACTACAGTAGAGCTACTGTTATTTAAATGGAATCACCCTCTTCTCGGTAGATGCACTATTTGTTCAGAGGGTGCCACGTACCCATTTTTTATTTTTTCTCATATGCAAGATCGTTTTTTTTTTGTTGTTGTTGCATTTAGCCTTGACTACTTTTGTATTTTTTTCTTATCTGTTGTATCTCAATTGATTTTATTCAAATTCAGGGCTGCACTTGGCAACCCTTATTGGTTCGTTAGACGTTCTTTTTTTGTTACTGATGTATTCATAGTTAATTCATCTGATTAAAAAGTAACAACGAGATTTCTTGTTTTTCGCGCGGAGGATTGATATCGATTTGTTGACCTTCAGAGGAGACAGATTTTCAAAAAAAAACTTTTGAACATTTTTTGAAAGAAAAATGGGCCAAAAAGGCCTTTTAGACACTTTTTGGGTAATCGCACTTCCCTTTCTTTTTAAGTATATATTGGCGCCAAAGGCGCCTCAAGAAAAAATTTAAGGTCCGTCGGTCAAAAATGGAGATCTCAAAATAGTACAAAGTAATAGTTCTCAAAATAGTTCAACCCTGAGGAAGGGGGCGTCCGCCCCCTCCCTAAATCTGCTGGTGCTTCTAAGTACTCAAGTATTTTCAAGAGAACAAAATCAGCTTGTAAATTGCAAAACGCATCAGCTTGTTTTAGGAAAAAGTGCCATTTACACTGCATTTGCAAGAGAAATTACTTAACTGCCAATTGAATATCTGCTCAACCTATTCGGTAAAATTAGTGTGACGAAAAAAGGAATGACTTCATTTGATTTTAGTTCAATTAGGGAAACATTTTAAGCTTAAACTACTGAAGCAACAAGTTTTTTTGATTAAATCAAGTAGCGTTAATGATCTTTTTGCATAAAACAATACTTTTATGCTTTGAATAAATAATTATTTAACTATTATGAAACAGTTTTCTTTTTCCTGTTTCAATAAAATATACTTCTTGGAATAGCGTTTCTCAAAAACACAGTTTCTCAAAAACACAGTTTCTGTTTCATATTGTATGTAAAAAAAATATTGTCATTTTTGGTAAATTTACTTCGGTTTCTGAAATCTCATGTAAAATTTTGAAATATGAGAATTAGGTTCCAAAACAAGGTTGTTTTGTTTCAGGACCTTGAGTTGGTGCATACAAAACTAGTCATGTTTCTCATGCATGTGTGCCAGTTTGTCATACTGGTCCAGCCCTCGGCCTCTCTGACCACCCGACTTGTCGCTTCTCTCCGACTCCTCGACACAATGCGACACAGTCTCACGGCTCAGCTGATGAACTTCGTCGCACGTGAGTCGAGAAGTCGAAACCAGAACCCACCGGCTGATATCTGGATGCGACTGGGAGGCAGATTCTGTGTTCCAAGGTTTGAATTCTGATTTAATTTGCTTCAGCATTTGACGTGCCGTTTTTTCCCTCGAAAATGTTTTCATGATTTTTTTTCATTACATAATTGGGTTAAATTGTGTGAGTACAGTTTAATTTAAGTTATCGTTATGAGTTGGTTAGAAAAATCTTCTAAGCTCTAAACAAAAATTAATTGGTAAGTTTTACGTTGATTAGAAATTATAGTGATGATTTAAATTATCCGGACAAAATCTGAAATTTTAAACGCGTTTTTCTCAAAAAAGGGTTGAGATTAGACAAATATTTAACGGAATAAAAGTTGCCTAGAGTTTCACCAAAAGTATTACGGATTAATTTATTTTGCGAAATTCGAAACCAAAAATGGATCTTTTGCCTTTTCTTTTAGTTAAGTAAAGTTTACATTAAAACAACCAATTTAATTGATGCAAAATAGTTAGCAATTTAGACAAACAGTTAACGGAACAAAAGTTGCCTAGCATTTCACTAAAATTATTACGGAGCAATTTATTTTGCGAAATTAGAAAATAAAAATGGGTCTTTTGCCTTTTTTTAGCTAAGCAAATTAACTACCAAGTTCATTGATGCAAAAAAATATATCAAAAGAAGCCTCTTATACAACCAAACAAAGTTCCAGAAGATAAAATCTTCAAAAAATTGCGCAAAACGTTTAAAGTTTGTTTTTAATGTTCTTTAAAGTAACATTGACCTTTTCTGGCTATCAAGCAAAAATATATTCTCTTATACAGATTTTTGGAGATTTTACCGTTCTAGAACTTTGGTTGTGGCTTCTTTTGTTACAAGTTTACCATTAATTAACTTGGTAGGTTTAGCGTAATTTTTGCTTAGGTAAAAAAGCCAAGAAAAATTGCATCATAATAGTTCTGGTAAAATTCTAAGCATTTTTTGTCGCCTCAATTTTTTGTCTAATCTCAATTCAATTTGAGAAAAACGGGTTGAAAGTGTCCAATGTTGTTCATTTGTGCGGTTAATTTAAATCAGCACTGTATTTAATGTTCTTAATGTAATGTATATTTCATTTCGAGTAGACTGTAAAGATACATGCCCTTTTAATCTGAGAAAGATGTTCTTGGCCTTAATCAAGGTTCAAGTAAGAATCATGATAGGAGTCCTAAAGGTCTGATTATGATTGCTGGCCCAACAAGTTAAAATAGCCCATCATTATTTGAACACTGAACAAGACAATGTTTTGTCAATCCGTTGCGTTTTCAAAAAACTCTTTCGACGTCGATCTACCCCATTATTTTTTTCTGATATTAACTTATTTGAATCAAAGCCTCCATAACATAAGTATGGAGACATTGTTTTCAACAATGTAGACAATACACAATACTAGGAATGTATTTTCCGCTCAAAGATTCCAGGAAAATGTTTGTAGCTTTAATTTAGGAATTTAGATTGAGCTGATACTTCCACTTTTCATCCGTGTACATGTAGATCAGCTAACATAAATAGCATAAAAATAACGTGACGCTAGTGGAATTTACATTTTGATTAATTCACCTCAACACTACGTTCATCGACTGACGCTGTGACTAGACAAAATTTTCAGTGAACTAAATAACAATCGAAGGGTCAAGTGTCATGATGCTCGACAGGAACAAAAAACGAAGTAGACATTTTTTTACCCTGAACACCCACTTTTGTCTGTTCAATTTAGCGTTCATTGAGAGTTTTATGTTGATATTATTTGAAGAAGCAGAAATTTTTCTGGTTGTTAGTTAACTCATAATAAAGGAATTACAACTTAATTAGAATTTTATAGCAACTCAGAGAGAACAGCGAAAGAAAATATTTTATTGCAGGTTGCTGCCCTAAATTCAAATACATTCGAATAGTCTTATTGATTACATAAGTGTGAAAATGAAAATAATAGAAACCAAATAAACTTGGCAAAAAACGCGAAAAATAAAAGCATTTTTTCCTTAAGAAAACGATGCTGAATAAACGTTGGCCACTTACGTGGTATGTACAATTCACCGAATATACGCACAATCGTGTTAGCCGAATTAATTAAACAAACACTACATAATTGGATGCAAACTATAAAATTTTTGGAATTTATCTGTAAAAACTTTATCATAAACTCGTTAGTCGTAGCCCACCTCGTTGCGCTCAAATGCAAAACTTGAACTGGTGGCTACTGCCTCTACTAACTACACCTCGCACCGAACACCTCTCTGACTCCAATAAAATTAAATGAAGGCTAATTGGACGTTGGGCGCCCAACTGAGCTCAAGCAGCAGTATCAAGTGAACACGTCAAAACCTGAAACGCTTTGAAAACCCAATTAATTAGCATATTATATAATGCCCTAATCTCAACACTAGACGAAAGCGAAAAGCTAGCACTTAAGTGCAAATACATAATTGATGATGTTTTCGTTGCTTCAAATGCTTAAAACTAGGAGATTATGAGCCACTGATTGAATATCTGACTGAGTTATTTTATCGAAAAAGTCTGGAACTAAACAGTTTTTGCGGAGCGTAGAAGCTCTTTATGTTAGTTTTTTCTAAATTAAGTGTTTTAAAGGTAACGAACTTGCTCTACGTGTCACGTGAACAAGGATTCTTAATACAACAAAGTTTATTTTAAAAAACACAATGAAGTCCAGCAAGGAATCTCATAACAAAATTAGGAAGTTTTGAGGCAAATAGATCGTGAACAGTTATTTTTTTGCATTATATAAAAAACAAATGCTGTCGTAATTTCTTGAAAAAAATAACCGCAACTTTTTTTTCAGTATCATTTGGCATTAATTGAGAATAACTTACGAGTTTGCGAAAGATAGTGTATAGTACGAACCTTCTTTTTTCTAGCCTAACTTGTACATGAAAGTGTTCATTAAAATTGTTCACTTATTTGATGGCTCATTCGCTATAATCACGATCTGCAGCATTGGAAATTTCATAGCATCTGGTCTCTGCTTTACATGCGACTAGTGTTTGCGATTTCGTGTGCATACGTGGCTGAGTGTTTAGTGTGTGAGATTCATAATCTCTAGGTTGCAGATCGAAGCCGAAACGTAGCCGAATTTTACTAATTCGAGGCTTATTTCTTGTTCGTATCTAGAGCTGCTTTTTGCCGTCTTCTCGCTAGTGTTTGGAATGTGCGGCTTCGTCTCTGTGTGCAAAATTGGTTTAATGTTTGACCTATAGATTTCGAGTAAATTGGTTTTGGAACATTTTTTAGAAACAATCCCACATTGCTTTCTGATTTTATTTCGCACAAAATTTATGTTAACATTGAATGATAACTTAGAATCAACGGAAACACCAAGATAGCTGCATGAAGAAACATTTTTACTGGAAAAAAAAATCAATAATTAGCTGTATTTTTAAATATTATTAGGTTCATCATGTGTTGTCTTTGCTCTGGAAGCTTCTTTGAGTCTTTCAACGTCATCGAGGAATCCGAGAGAGAACTTTTGTCCGAGCAGCGAGACCCGAAAGATCGAGCACAGAATGCGTTTGTCAAGTTCTGTTCTGGTCTCGAAGAAGAAGTATATCACATTCTGAGAAAAGGATGGATTGTCCATGATCATGGATCTGTCAATGGTCTTCTTGCAGTTCCTCCGAAGAAGCCATTCATTTATCTTTTGCAGCTCAAGGGAAGTCAGAAAACAGCTTCCGGTTTTTTACTCCAGAGATTGGCGAGGAAAATTTCCTTGGACAGCGGCACCATTTACGTTGACGGAACTGACGGTAAGGAACACAGAAAGTTTCAGGCAATCCCTAATTGCGTTTTGTAAGCTTCAATCACCTTGAAACCATTTGTGCTGCGTTTAATTGGTTTTCCATTTTGTGTTGCGGCAAATGTATTTTTTTTATCCTTGGGTGGAAGCAATAACTGTGTAACTGTTTTCCTGTGTTGTAACAAAAATGAACTAAATACTCTCAAAGAACGGCCGATCTTTAGTGCGTACCTTTATACCTGCCTATCGCTCTTAAAATTCAATGACCGAGTAAAGTAAAAAGACTGCGCATCACAGACTTCTCTCAAATAATACACAGCAAAGATGTGACGTCAACCGTTAATATGTCTTATCTTAAAAACAAATAATTACACTTGCGAAGCTAGGCTTGTTACAAGGTCAACATTTTTTATCCAGTCGCACTTTTGTGTTCACTGGTTTTTAATAGAGTACAATCAATAGTCGTATAATGATATGTCATAATGAGGAACGATCAGTCGGCGTTTGGCTCGGACTGTAATAAAAAATCTCCCATGATTTATTTTCGATGTCCAGAGCAAGAGTTGGATAAATTAAATGTCACCCTGAGATATCTTATTGCGACAAAAAATGAATTTTGTCATGTTATTAGTTAAAAATATGTAAATGAATGTGTTCCACGCGGATCACCCTTTCACCTGTCCACGGAAAAAACACGCATTTGTTTTTACCCTTGCGATAATTACCTTTGCGATTAGCAAGGGTGTTGCAATCGGGTACTAGACTTTTTCCCCGCAAATAAATTTGTTCACAGACTAGTCAAAATTAGAAATGAAAAGTTTCGGTTCAGTTCATTATGAGTTCAAGGTTCTTTGCGTTCCCGCGCACTTGGTCTGGATGTGATGAACACGCTTGGGACGGCAAAAGTACTGGGTTCGAATCTGACAGGACCTTATTTTTTTTATCAAACGGGAAATATTCCATTACAAAAAAAATTGTCGGCCTAATAGTTGTCTGTTTAGTTCTGTAGGCTTAGTTGTTACATCGATTTTTTTGCCGTAATCAAGTTACACATTGTGGTTGCTTTTATTGTTTTGACTTACTACTGCTGTTTGTAGTTTTACTAACCTTGACTTCGTATATTTTTTTTTTCGCTTAAAAATTGAGTTGTGCCCAAATGATTTCGGCTTACATTTTATGGGCTTAGTGACCTAACTTTGAGCAAAATGCTTAAAATCTTAATAGAAATAGTACTTTTTCATGACAACAATATTTTTTTGGCGTTTTTATTGTTTTTTTCCTCGATCGATAGTTTGTTGTGTGTGACGGCCTTCTATCTGGAAATAGGGGGCTAGAAAAGCCCAGTCTTTCGAACGAACTTCAGCACGTTCTCTGGGGCCGCCTGCAGCAGTTTCAAGTCTGGATGCTCGCCGAGATAGGTCTTCCTCTCGGCCTCCCATCGTGGGCAGTAGAGGAGGAAATGCTCAGTATCTTCTTCGTCCTCGGTCCCGCAGTGCTCACACGAGGGATCTTCGGTGTTTCCATGTCTATGTTTTGTTGAATTGAGTGGTAGGTGGCGGTTCAGTCGGAGTCGGTGTAAGGTAGTTTCTTCGGTTCGCGTTCTGCCTGTGACCGACTCCAGGAACTCTCCGCCTGTAGCTCTTCTATGAATTGACTCTGGGTCTGTTCTCAGCAGGTAGTGTTCTAAGAAGCGCGGTTCTTTTTCGTCTTTGAGCGCTTCTTTCACATCTGTGCTGTTTATGTCGTTAAGTTGGTTCTTGGCTGTTGTTCTGAAGCAGGAGCGAAAGTCTCCTGTTCCGTGCGCTTTCAGTCTTTGTCGGGGGGCGTCTGTTGTCATGTGGGCGAGGTAGTGGCTCGAGTCCAGGTTTTCGATCTTGTTGAAGAGCCTGGCTGATTCTTCTTCGGCAACATGAAAGATCGGTGGAAGCTGAGCTTCGCGGCAAGTTGCTGCAGCATTCGAACCTTTGGGCGCTCCCGTGATTATTCTCGCCACTTGGTAGTTCAGTGATTCGAGTTTGTTTCTGTTGGTTTGGGAGGTAAAGGAGTACCAGACCCCGGCCGCGTAGAGGCCACCGGAACGTGCACACGCATTGAAGAGCTGTCTGAGTACTGAGCCTTGCATGCCCCAGTCGGTTCCTGCTAAGGCGTGGATGATCTTCGTTCTTGACTTCAGCTTGCTGCAGGCGGTCACGGTCTGTTCTGTGAACCGGAGCTGCGAGTCGAAGGTGATGTCGAGAATTTCCGGACCTTTGCGTTGAAGGTTGGAGCTGTACTTCACAGTGTCGCCGGCCAGACGTAGGGGAGGCTTCGCTTTTCCTGCTGTCTCCCTTGGATCTAAGGAGATCACTAACGCCTCGGTCTTCGAAGCACAGACCTTCAGGGGGTGGTCTTCTGCCCACTGGTCAACTGCTTGGAGTGCTCGCATGTGACTTGCTGCTTCTTCTGGAGACGAGAAGAGCCAAAGGTCGTCTGCGTAGACTTCTGGGTTAGACTCAGGGGCCTTTTGCCTGATGTAAGGAGGCGGTGAACAGGTTGAACAGCAGCGGTGACAGAGGTGAGCCCTGAGGTACTCCAGCTTGGAACACTTTGAAGTGACTGGTCGGTTGTTCCACTGAACAGCCGCTCTCCTGTCGGAAAAGAAGGCTTTCAGCCAGTGCAGGATACGGGATGGCATATCGTTGCAGGCTAGGTCCCTGAGAAGACCGCCGCGCTAAACCGTGTCGCAGGCAGCTTCGAAATCGACTGCAACGAGGAGGCTCCGTTTGCGATCTTGAAGGGCGTCGAAGAGGGACTGAGCGATGTGAGCTGTGCGGTCGAGAGTAGACCTCTTCGCTTGAAATCCTGATTGTTCCTGAGGAATGAAGCGCTCTTTCAGCCCAGGTCTTCATTCTGTCTCTGACTAGGGACTCCAGGATCTTCGAGACGCAAGACAAGAGGCTCACGGGCCTGTAGCTGCGGATCTTGTCCGCCGGTTTCTTCTTCTTGTGGATCGGGATGATCAGTGCGGAATGCCAACTGCTGGGCACCTTCCCCAGTTGCCAGCTCCGGTTGAAAATCTCCAGCAGGGAGAGTTTCCATTCCTGAGGCAGGTTCTTCAACATGAGGGGTGGATCTCGTCTTCTCCTGGCGCGCTGTTCTTCTGTTTGTGCAGAACGGTCTGCAGCTCGGGGAAACTGAAGTCGCTCGCAAGATCGGTGTGAGAGTAGATGTTGTCTCTCAGCCCTGACAGGAGAGCTTGGTCAGCTTCTTTGCCCAGCCTGCGAGGGATCCTGATCCGGCTAACTTCTGCGTAGGTCTTGATGGCTAAGTCGGCTTTCTGTTGGTCTGACACAGCTGCCATGCTTGATTGTCGTGTCTGGGAGTCCTGATCTTTGTCTTCCGTCCATGGCCTTGAGAATGTTCCAGACCTTTGTCGCCGGAGTCTTGGGGTCTAGATCGGCCACATACTCACGCCAGCATGACCTCTTCTGTGTGGCGATTGTCTTTCTGAGCAAGCTCTTCGCTTCGTTGTACCTGCGAGAGAGATCTTCGTCCTGAGGGTTGGCACGGAGACGGTGGAGGGCTCTGTTCAGGTTCGTTTTGGCGTACGCACATTGAGAGTTCCACCATGGTTTGACGGGTTTCTTTCTGGTGAGATGGATACTCTTCTGCGCGGCTCCCAGGACGGAGGAAGTGAATTGCTTCACTTGTTGTTCCAGGGAGGCTTCTGCTGTTGGGAGAAGGGTGCGCGTCAGGATGTCCTGAAACCTTTCCCAGTCAGCTTTCTTGATGATCAGTTGTCGTCTTCTTCTATCTTTCTGTGATCTTCCTTGCCTGTCGATCAAAATCGGCAGATAGTCGGAGCCTTATGCTGTCTAAGGTCTTCCACGAGAAGGCCTGGGAGCTGGACGAGTGCACGACGCTGATGTCCGGGGCTGTGCTAGTGCTATCGCTCTTCATGCGGGTGGGAGCGCCTTGGTTAAGGATGTACATCCTTTTGACGATGGCCCAGTCGTCGATTTCTTCCCCGACGTGGTCCGTGATTTCGGGGCGGTCCTACGATCTGTGCGCGTTGGCATCGGCGCAGATTATGCTGCATTTGTCTATCGGCCAGACTTGCAGTTGGGGGCGGGCGTCTCTGGTGTCCGCACCACTTTTCGCAGGGGGCACTTGGTGGTGTCTTCGTCCGGAAGCTTCGTCTCTTAGATGCAAATGACATCTGGGTTGGTCTCGCCTGCAAGATTGTCCAGAATCGCTGCCTTCGAGCGCCAACCATCCAGATTAATCTGGAGGATTCTTATCTTCTCTGGAGCTGCCCTTCTGGTCTTCTTGGGGGCTGTCGTAGCCGCAGGGGCTGCCGGTGGTTCCTCTTCTCTTCTCTGCACCTGCAGTGCTAACGCCAGTGTTCCCACTCTCTGAACTCCTTATGGCTCAGACCCAGGCAAGTTCTGTTGTCCACTGTCTGCAATCTCCGCATCGGATCGAGTCGAACTTTGTGGAGCGTCCACAAATCCCGCAAGGCCACCTGACAGGGCCGGGGTTGGTCTCGATGTCCCTGGAAGTCAGGAGGGTGCGCCACTGGTATGCGGGGTTACCAGGGCGCTTCACCAAAAACACTGCTGCTGGCGGGTCCCGTTGAACTCCCGAAGGTTCTTGGAGTGCGATTTTCTCCTGGGGATTGAATTGATGTCCCATCCGCCGCGTAAAGGCTCCCAGATAGGATAGGCGATCGATAGGTTTCGGCCTATATCAAGTCTGCTTAGTGGCCTCATTTTGTTTCATTTAACGAACAAATAAAGCTGTGTCTTGGTCTGTTTTGAGGGTGAAGGAGACTCAGGAACAATAACTTATCTGTAACTAGAATTCTTACCTATTGCAAGAAATGGACTCATCAGCGTTGCGCATGGATGTTGACCCAAGAGATCAGGGCACATCGGAATTTCAGGTGGCACTGTGTGTTAGCCCGATTTGAGCAGTGCTACAAATCGACCAGTTTACCTTGAGTTTCAATGCCCGATATGCAAGCCTGGC